CATACTGAGGCTGTGGTCTTTGATCTTCATCAGCCAAGTATTTTAAGTCCTCTTCACTATCTGCAAGCAAGTTTATATCATCTGTATACTGAAGGTTGTTAATGATTCTTCCTCCAATCCTGATGCCACGTTTTTTTCACATAATCCAGTTTCTCGGATTATTTGTTCAGCATACAGGTTGCATAAGTATGGTGAAAGAATGCAACCCTGATGCACAACTTTCCTCATTTTAAACCATTCGTTATTCCCTTGTTCTGTTTGAACAACTTCCTCTTGGTTTATGTACAGATTCCTCACAAGCACAATTAAGTGTTCATTCTCTGCAATGTTGTCCATAGCTTGTCAGGGTTTACAGAATCAAAAGTCTTTGCATAGTCAATAAAGCACAGGTAAATATCTTTCTGGTATTCTCTGCTTTCAGCCAAGATCCATCTGATGTCAGCAATGATATACCATGTTCCACATCCTCTTCTGAATCCGGCATGAACCTCTGGAAGTTCTCTGTCAATGTATGGTTGCAGCCGTGTTTGTATTCTCTTTAGCAAGATTTTACTTCCATGTGAAATTAATATTGTCTGATGATTTCCGCATTCTGTTGGGTCTCCTCTCTTTGGAATGGGCACAAATATGGATCTATTCCAGTCACTTAGCCAGATGTTGTTGTTAGGTGCCATCGAGTTGGTACCAACTCTTAGCAACCCTACGCAAAACAGAATGAAACACTGCCTGGTCCTGGGCTAACCTCACAATTGTTGCCATGCTTGAGCCCATTGATGCTGCCACTGTGCCAATCCATTTCGCTGGGGGTTTTCCTCTTTTTCTCTGACCCTCCACCTTACCAAACACGATATCCTTCTCCAAGGACTAGTCCCTCCTGATAATATGTCCGAAGTATGAAAAACAAAGTCTGGCCATCTTGGCCTCCAAGAAGCACTCTGGCTGCACTTCTTCCAAAACACATTTATTTGTGGTTTTTGGCAGCCCATAGTACTTTCAATATTCTCTCCAACACCATAACCCAAATGCATCAATTCTTCTACGATCTTCCTACTCACTGTCCAAGTTTCACATGTATATGACATTATTGAAATTATCACGGCTTGGGTCAGGCACGCCTTAGTCCTCAAACTGACATCTTTGCTCTTCAATACTTCAAAAAGGTTTTGTGCAGCAAATTTGCCTAATGCAATACTTCACCAAGTAGTTGTCTTCTAAATTTCTTGACATAGATGAGTGAGTGCTTCCAGTACTACCTCAATTTGTAGAAAGATTTCAATTTATATTCCATCAATTCCTGGTGCCTTGTTCTTTGACAATGCTTTCAGTGCATGACCATTTCTTTTTGGTATAGTGACTGTATATTCCTTTCATCTTCTTTTGGTGCTTTATGCATCTTCCAATATTTTGCCCATAGAATACTTCAATATTCAAAGTCAAGGTGTCAAATTTTCTCTTGAGTTCACTCAGCTTGAGGAATGCTGAGTGTGTTCTTATCTTTTGAATCTTTGCACATTCCCTTGTAATATTTGACTTTGTCTTCTCAAATCGCCCTTTTAAAATTTCTGTTCAGCTCTTTTATCTCCTTATTTGTTCCATTTGCTTTAGCATCTCTATGTTGGAGCGTAACTTTAAGAGTCTCTTTTGGCTTCCATTTGGATCTTTTCCTTCTTTCTTGTCTTCTTTATGACCTTTTGCTTTTTACCTGTATGATGTTCCTGATGTCATCCCACAACTCTTCTGGTAATCAGTATTTAGTGTCTAATGCATTACGGACTTGTTTTCATTTTCTTCAGTTCAACTGGAATTTGCATTTGATGATCTGTTCTTCAGTAGGCCCTTGACCTTATTTTGGCTGCTGATATGGAGCTTTTCCACTATCTCTTTCCATTGTTGTTGTTGTTAGGTGCCATTAAGTCAGTACCAACTCATAGTGATCTTATGCACAGTAGAACAAAACACTGCCTGATCCTGGGCCAACCTCACTACTGTTGCCACGCTTGAGTCCATCAATGTTGCCATTTGGTCAATCCATCTCGCTGGGGGTCTTCCTCTTTTTCTCTGACCCTCCACCTTACCAAATATGATGTCCTTCTCCAGCGAACTGTCCCTCCTGACAATATGTCTGAAGTATGAGAGACGAAGTTTGGCCATCTTGGCCTCCAAAGAGCACTCTAGCTGCACTTCTTCCAAAACGGATCTATTGGTTCTTTCGGCAGCCCATGACACTTTCAATATTCTCCTCCAACACCATAAC